AGCGCGCGACAGGCAAAGAGAATCAATTGCTCTCAGTGGTTCGAACCCTGGCAAATCCGTCGCTAGCATCTTCCGTCATCGGTCCTCCTCTAAGCGTGGTCACGATCTTCCACCCCTGCTAAATGATAACGAAGTCTTCCTCACAGATGACACTGAGAAAACGGAGTTGTTAAGTGTTTTCTTTGCAAAACACCTTACTGCCAAGTCCGATCCGGTCCCTTTCTTACGATCACTTTCAGATAGAACACTTAGTACAATTGATGTCTCCTCAGATCTCATTATGAAACACATAAGCCGTTTGAAATACTCGCACTGCTCAGGAACGGACGGGATTCCGAATTCGATTATTAAACAAGCGTCTGACTTTCCCATATTGTTTAGTCATTTATTCTCTGTTTATATTTCAAAAGGATTCTTACCTGAAACATGGAAAACGTCAATTATCATTACCGTCTTTAATTCAGGATCTCGGTCCAATGTTAATAACTATCGGGGCGTGCACAAAACGCCGTCTCTAGCAAAGCTTCTTGAAAGGATTATTTTCAATGAAATTCTTGACTTCTGTCTAGCTAATCGGCTTCTGAGCTCTAGTCCGCATGGATTTTTACCTGAACGATCCTGCGAAACATGTCACTTGACTTTTCTTAATCTAATCACTTCTCTTGGTAATGAGCGGCTGTCAGTAGTAGTTATTTACTTTGATCTTAGCAAAGCCTTTGACAAGGTGCCCCATAGACGCCTCTTAGTAAAATTTGAAGCTCTCGGCATCCGGCCGCCTCTACTCGACTTCATCAGGTCCTATCTGTCCAACCGATATCAGAAGGTCATGGTCGGTAATAGCTACTCGAAACCTCACTCGATCGCGAGTGGCGTACTTCAGGGCACGGTTCTGCGTCCGCTACTCTTCCTTCTGTACATCAATGATATTTCGACTGAACTCGGAAATTCGCAAACTTTTACTTATGCCGATGACCTCAAGTGTGTTTACTCATACTCTAAGGACACCGCAAACGTTTGTGTTGAAAAAATTAATGCCGATTTACTAAGCTTAAGCAGATGGGGTTCGACATGGCAGATGGAATTTTCATCATCCAAGTGTAGTTTCATGTCTTTTGGTCCTACCAAACTTCCTCGTCCCATAATTATTCAAAATAACCCACTCTCAGAATGCCTCACCATAAAGGACCTAGGCCTAAGTTATACAAATAAGCTTGCTTCATCACCTCATGCAGATAGAATCTCTGCCAAAGCCGCGCAGATATGTGGATTCATATCGCATAATTTTTTCCTTCTGGAAATGAAGCTAAGACTTTATCAAATATTTGTTCTTCCAGTCCCCGAATATTGCTGTCCTTTCTTCGGTTTAATGAACGCCTACGAAAGTAATAAAATCGAAAATGTTCAGAGGGTTTTCACCCGGAAACTGTTCTCTCAAGCTTCGTCCAGTATTTCTTATACTCAGAGATGTCAGCTGTCGAACATTAAGTTTTTGTGGGTTAGAAGACTCGAAGCTGGCCTTTGCTTCCTTTTTCGCATCAACTCTAGCTCCAGTCTTCCGCTCACTGACACTCTCACTCCGAGAGATCGGTCTTATGCCACGCGCAACTCCTGCATGGTGAGTCCGCCGCCTCTTTTGTACTACATCTAAGCGCCCCCTCTTCTTTGCTTCCAAATAAGCCTTCATTGGAATAATCTTCCGCCTAAAATTAGATTATCGCCTAATTTACTGGTATTCAAGTCGAAATTACGCAACCATCTTACACCGGAAAGCATAACGGCACTGTTAACGGTCTCATTCCCGAACACTCTGATACTTGACTTCGAGAAGGGTCCTCTTGGGATTTAGTGGTAGATTAAGTGGTAACTTTTAATTATATCATTAGAAACCCCTGTTTTTAATTGGTTTCTAAATCCATCGCTATCCTTCCCACCATAGCGACAATTTTCGCGGTTTTTGATGTCATCTCCCGCATTCCGACCTCATGCGGTCTGTCGACGCTCAGGGCGGAACCCTCAGTATTCGCCGTCTACTAGTAGTTTGGTCGTACCTCCCTTCCCCACTGCTCGGCTGAGCTCGAAGCGTGCTGTGGCCGATCGCATCTGGGTTCCTCTCGTCTGGCCTCTTTGACGCGGCGTACCAATCCGGCCCAGACGATCTCAATTGTGAATCCCGTATACAATGCCATATGCAAGCCAGTCCTGTCTGACCCACATTCGTACCCATCAAGGCTGACATTTATTGCTACCCTGACGATGACCGACAAAATTTCGTTATATACCGCCACCCACAGGCCAGTCCTGCTCGCTTTTTTCTGTCATTATTTTTATTGAGGAGTTTTTTCTCTCCTGTATAATTAATCCAATCATTTTTAACTTTTTGTATGGAGTTTTTTTTCACCCCCCAATCATCATGTTTCGCAATGGACTACTTATTCAGAAACTATGAATTGCATTTTGTACAGATTCGGCCTACCTCGTCTAAAACTCGCATGTAAATTTATTTTAACTTGCTTTGATGGGACCTCGACGGGTCTTTAATAAAAAATTATCTATCTATCTATGAGGGACTCGCAATCCTGTTCGCTGATCAAGTCATTAACATAAATCAGGAAGAGTATTGGTTCTAAGACAGAACCCAGTGGGACTCCACTTCCCACATTTGCCCATTGCGAGGCAGAGTTGCCATCGACGACGTCTTGTACTCAGGAGGACAGAAAACTCCTGGTCCATTTAAACATTCTTCCTTGAATTCCTACACTACTGTTTTTTTATAAAAGAAGCCTGTGTGGGACACTGTCAAAGGCCCTCTTGAAATCAAATATATGGCATCCACTGGAAAACCCTTATCGGTATATCGTGTCCATTTTTCGTGCAAGTAAAGAACACTAGTTGGACCGGAGCGCCCTGGACGAAAGCCATCTTGGGCATCACACAATGTTTTTTTTCCCAGGTATTTCATCCAGTTCCTTTTGATAATGCGTTCCATTATTTTACACTCGATGCAAGTAAAACTGTCAGGAAGAGAATTTCCGCAGTCAAGTCTTGAGCTTCCTTTAGAGTAGAATAGGTTGAGCCCAACTGAGCACGACGGAATTATTCTGCGCTCCAACTGGGACAATTTCGACTTGGATACCATCCCACAGTTACAGTCTCTGACATTGATACTGGAACCGTACGTACAGACTAACTTTGTGCATTTTTGGAATATTTTTTCACGCATCGAAATTCGCCTGGAATCTGGATTAAGTGCAATTTGTTTATCAGCGCGGTCCAACTGACAACGCAACTGGCTACGCAACCAATTCACGGTATACAGCCTAGAAAACCAATCGCTCAAAATCCTTCAAGGTCTGCAGTTATTCAAGTTCCACGAGATCTGGAAAGGGCTAAGTCGCTTCTGATTAAATTCAACAAAATTTATCGGATTTTAAGTATTTTTTCGCTTATTGAGTTTTGAATACTCACTTTAATTCATCATATATAAGCGGACGTATTCGTTATAACATCGAAAGCGGAATTATACCTATTATATCACGTCTAAGTTTATGGATTCTCAGCAGGCTAACTGTAGTAGTACCGCCAGCGACGGCACCTCTTTAGAAGATAAATCCGGTGAGTTGTCCTTCGCATCCAGACCCTGTGCTCGCTCTACCTTCGCCTCCAGCCAACGACCAGCAAAGCGTGCAAAAAGCGTAAATACCGCAAAATGTGTGAGGTACGAAGACGAGCCTTGTGCTGGGTGCTCAGATATTCAAATCAAAGTAGAACAACTGGAAAAGGAGATTGCTGCTTTAAGGACGCTCGTGCAACAGACCGTAGTCGGCCACAACGTGTCCAGTGTTAGAATCCCAAAAACGAAGAGCAGAACGCAAAAAACGCGAAAAAATATCTCCTCGGGGGAATCTTCAAACACGAGTAGCAACTCAACAGCCAAAACCGCAGACGCCGGTAACAGAAGGACAATGAAAACAAAGCCGCCGATAAAGGGAGACACGATTCCCACGCACGATGTCTTAAGCGATGTCGCAAAAAAATTACCTATCGCGGAATCCATGTCACCTAAACCTCTTGCTGTAAGTGATGGGATTTCTGTTCTGCCTGGAGAGGATATACCTGGGTCATCCAGTCTACTCTTGCCCTCTTGTTCTGGCAACCACCCCGAGCGCACAACAGAGCACGTATCTGAATGTGAAGACATAAACCAGTGGGTAGAGGGGAGAGGGAAACGACATGACAGGATTCTGAAGTTCCAGCCAGCCCTGATGGGTTGCTCGGGACAGTCGGTAGACGGTAAAAGTGTGCGTCCAAGCGATGACTCCGTAAATCGTCCTCGCCCACATGCAGCGCATTCACCGGAAAGACAGAGTAAGGAGGACCATGCTCGCCAGCAGTGTCTGGTTATTCAGGGTTTGTCAGAATCGAATGCAGTCAGACCTGAAGACCGTGTCTCAGAGGACCTTGCTTCTTTTCATGGTCTGCTAAATCATTTACTGCCGGCAGACATGGAAAAAAAGGTTCTGAAAGCATTCCGGATAGGAAAAAGGAGTGAAGACAGGACAGTAGCACAACCACCTCGCCCTCTCAAAATTATGCTGGAGAACAAAGAGCAAATCAAGTTTATCCTCTCTAAAAAAAACCGATCTCAGAAACACACACAAACAGGTTTTTTTTCAACCGGACTATTCACCAGCGGAACGGTTGAAACGCCGGGAACTTGTCTTGGAGTTAAAATCAAGACTGAAGGATGGCGAACACAATCTGGCTATCTTCAAGGGGAAGGTAGTTCGAAAATATATGCCGTCCCAGTGGAACCAGCCTGTAATACTACGAACGACGACAGCTACTCAGCTAAAACAGACACCTTCGTTGAACCACCTGATCAAGGCGCCAACACAAGTGAGCCCGTAGCGTCCAGTGATCTGACTGAAACAAGGCATGTAAATGGAACCAATCAGGTAACGGAAGAGCCTAGAGAACACGACGTCCGCGATAACGGAGTAATGCTCACAGCAGTAACAAATGCAACGGGAAATTCGGCTGGTGCTAAACTGAGGTGCTTGTACACGAATGCTCAAAGCCTCCTATCGAAACTAGACGAACTAAAACTTTGCCTTGTTGAGCTGTCTCCAGATGTTTTAGCAGTAACTGAGACCTGGTTGTCCGAGAATATTAGCGATAATGAAGTAGCCTTGCCTGGATACCAAATTTATCGGAGGGACAGGGAACATCGTCAGGGTGGTGGTATCGTTGTGTATGTGAATGACGGTCTGGCAGTGTCGGATAACACCACCAAGTTTGTGTGCAGTACGGAAGCTATCTGGTTGACCATCAAGGCTACCGGTTCCCCGTGTCTCGATGTCCTCACTGTCTACCGACCTCCTCGGACAGACCGAATCGCCGACACTCAACTATTGGAGCAGTTGGAGAAATTTTCCAGTCGACCTAACATCATGATCATGGGCGACTTCAACGCACCAGGAACAAACTGGAATACCCTCCAAGCGTCAGGTCCAAAATCGGCATTCGATTACCGCCTGTTGAGCAAATCATTAAATGCGTGCCTCACACAACATGTAATGTTCCCAACGAGAACACGTGAAGGACAAAGGGCAAACTGCCTGGATCTGGTCTTTACGAAAACACCAGACAGCATAGACGAGATCGCCTCCATGCCGCCCCTTGGCCGAAGTGACCACGTAGTGCTTATGTGGGATTATTCGTTATTCTCCATTTCACACACTCCAGGCCACAAAAGGCGTAATGTTTGGCGGGGCAATTTCAATCAGACGAGGGCAGACTTATCTGGTCTTGACTGGGGCTCTTTGTTTACGGGAAGTGCCAACGATGACTGGGAGCTGTTCAAGAATGTCCTTCTGCGGCTCATCAACAACCACTGCCCTCTGACTAGTGTAAGACTGAACAAACGCCCTGGGTGGCTAAATAGCAACCTCAAAAAAGAAATCAACAGGAAGCACAAATTGTGGAGAAAATACTGCGTCACTAGACAAGCTGAATGCTTCAACACCTACAAGACACAGAGGAACAAACTGAGGAAGCTGATAATTCAGACGCGGCGGGAATTCGAGAAGAACTTGCTACAAAAAGCAACGCAGAACCCAAAATTGCTCTACAGCTACCTCCGACGAATTACAAGGAACAGGCATCAAATCCCCTGGATAAAGACTACTGATGGCGTTGAGATCGCTGATAGTAGGGATAAAGCTGCGCATTTTTCACGGTTTTTCCAATCAGTCTATACAAACGAGGCAAGCTCCCTTCCTCCCTCCACAGAAGAACTGCCGACTCCAAGCGTCAGTGATATACTCTTCTCAGAAGGCATTGTCCGAAGAGAATTAGAGGCATTGAACGAATCGAAGTCGCCAGGACCAGACGAGATTCCATCCAAGCTTCTGAAGGAACTTGCCCGTGAGCTCTCTGTGCCTTTGTCGATGCTCTTTCAAACGTCATTTGACACTGGAACACTTCCTATCGATTGGAAGCTGGCGCATATTACTCCGCTACACAAAGGAGGTAACAGGGCAGCGACGACAAATTACCGGCCCATAAGCTTGACATGCATTCTCTGCAAAGTTATGGAAAGGATCATAAAGTGTGAACTGATGCAATTCCTGGAAGTTCACGGCCTGCTATCGAAATGCCAACATGGGTTCCGAAAAGGAAGATCCTGCACGACAAACCTGCTGCAATCTCTCCAGAGCTGGACCCAAGCTCTCGACGACAGGCACGCGGTCCACATAGCCTTCATCGACTTCCAGAAGGCTTTCGACACTGTTCCACACCAAAGGCTCTTACATAAGCTGAAAAAAATAGGGATCGGTGGCAACTTCCATAAATGGATCGAAAACTTCCTTGTGGGTCGACAGCAGGTTGTGTGCGTCGGTCGGGGAAAATCAGATCCGGCTATGGTCGAAAGTGGTGTCCCCCAGGGTTCAGTACTGGGACCCATTTTGTTCCTTATCTACGTGAACGATGCCGCAAGAGATTTGGACTGTGAAGTAGCAATGTTTGCGGACGACATGAAGATATGGAGTGTAATTCGTGGTCCTGCCGATGAAGACAGACTGCAGATGAACCTGAATCGGTTGGAGGAGTGGTCAAACCGTTGGCTCCTGCGGTTCAACGTTGCCAAATGTAGCATTCTTCGCCTAGGCAACACAGCCCGTTCCGCCAGCACAAGAGGCTACTTTCTGGGCGGTGCAGCCCTACAAGAGGTCGAAACCCAAAAGGACCTCGGTGTGCTTACGACGAGTTCCCTAAAACCATCCGCCCACTGTTCGAGGGTGGCAAAAACCGCAATGTCCGTACTGTACGCCATCAAGCGTGCGTTTATGGACTTTGACGAAGAAGCCTTCTCTAAGACATTCGGAACATTCGTCCGGCCGCATTTAGAGTACGGCATCCAAGCTTGGAGGCCGTGGGGTGTTGTGGATCAAAACTGCCTCGAAAGAGTCCAGAGGAGAGCCACGAAGATGGTCAGGGGTCAAAGCTCCTTTCCTTATGCGACCCGCCTAGTAAATCCGAACCTCTTTCCTTTGAGTTACAGGCAACTTCGCGGAGATTTCTTGCAAGCCTTCCGCATTGTAAAGGGGTTGGATTGCAGTCTGGCCTTCGAGGACTTTTTTGAATTTGCTACCACGACCAACCTCCGAGGTCACCCGTTAAAACTGCGCACTCAGCAGGCACGGCTGGATGTGCGGAAGTTCTCCTTCTCGGTTCGGGTGGTCAAACCGTGGAATGAGCTTCCCGCAGATGTTGTGATGTCACCATCTATACAAAGTTTTAAGAAGAATCTGGACATATTTATGTTCCGAAATGACCAAGAGCGATGAGAAGTCGAGCTCACCCCCCTTGTAACTCCTTCTAATTTTGTCCCACCATTATGGGCGTGTTCGAACTATTTCAGCCCAGAACATCTATCTGTACACCACATATTTTTTTACGTTGCAAATAGGGTACTCAAAGGCTTACGCCTATTTCCCTCAATAAACTGAACTGAACTGAACTGATTATAGCGTCCCTTGGACACTGTCAGTCTCCCTTGAACTCAGGAAAATAAAAGTAAAATAAACTCATCCATTTTGAGTGCACTTTGACTTCATTTGTTTTGGATGTCTGTTTAGCCAACAGAGCGCGAATTGAGAGTTTGTTTTAAGTAAAAAAAACCTGACTTCGAGGGCAAACAAATCGAAAAAGTTTTAAAAAGAACGATATGTACAATATAAAAATTGAAATGGGAATTTTGGTTGATTTTGGGACATGAATAATATGTCCTTCATGGACATCGAAGAACGTTGAGAGCGTAAATCAGGGTGTCTTGTAACGTCCCCGTCTAACGTTTTTAAAGGAATTTTGACATATTTATATTCCGAAATGACCAAAAGCGTTGAGAAGTCGAGCTCATTCCCTGTAAGTCGTTTCCAATTTATCTTACCATTATGGGCTCGCTTGGACTATTTCAGCTCAGAACATTTTTCTGCATACCAAACATTTTTACGTTGCAAATATGATACTCAAAGGCTTACGCCTATTTCCCTCAATAAACTAAACTGAACTGAAGGAAAGTATTTTGCTCTTTGAAATTTTGTTTTTTAAGTGTAAGTTTTGCTACAGTTATTCGTGGTTTGATCGTCCTTCGCTGATAAATACGTATCTAAAACTCATTGTATTAAACGTACTGAAAAATTTGTAGCGTAAACAGCGAGAGAAAGTCAGTCTTACTCCTCGGTGTTTACGTTTTTACGGAATATCTGCAAGCAAATTCCTTCAAATTGGCCTTTCTCAGATGTTCTTCGTATCACATTTTCAAACTAAAAGATCATTCCTATAAAGGCTGCATTTTCGTGTTCAAGAAGGGATTCCTCAAAAAACCATACCCTACCCTTATTAACAGATCGTAAACAGCACACACTAAACATTGATTGACCATATGCATCACGTATCATTAGTAAATATTACCAAAATACCTTCTGTCTGAAAAACATAAAATATAAGATGCTTGCAAAATAGGATCAGGATTTGGTGTCTCAACAATGCGTTAAATTAAATTCCTGGCAATCCATCTAATGAGTATTGTGGAATCAAGAGTTCCATGGCCAGGGAAACGACACGAAAAACCGAAACGGAACCTTAAACAAATAATATTCCGCTGAATTTTTTCAACTGTATGAAAAACGACGGCTTGGCAGGCCATCAAGCTTATTCGATCATGCTACGGTATACCTAAGACCAAAGGTCTAACCAAACTCGACTTCCGGGGTGACCAATGATCGAAGGGTGGCGAATGGATCTCGCATGGTTTCGGCGTACGTAGGCATAGCTGCTTATGCACATTTACGAAGATGGTGGAAAGTAGACATTGAGATCATATCAAACACCGTTGTGACATGTGTGATTTTTCCGCAAAAAGTTAAGTCGGTGGCGTTAAGGCGAAATAGTGACAGACCTCTTGGGCTCTTAGTGTGTGTGTGGATACACGTGAGACTGGTACGATTTATGAAGTGAACATAGTAGATAGCTATGGGACAACTGGCGAGATCAACGAGAATAAGAAAGGGACAGACCGTTGGCCCTACAACAACTCTAAAGTTCATCCTGTGTATGGCACCGAATGTGGCATACAGAACTAATTAGTATTGAAAATCGTCAGCAGCGTGACAATATTGGGTTCTCCATACAGAAGCAGCCAAATTTCATTACCCAATGCCGGTATCCTAACACATGCCTGTTGCATTAGCACAGAACCAGAAAGGGGAAATATGGTTAACCAAATTCAATAGTAGCGCCTGGTAAATAAATTTACCGGTGTTGCTTTGATGGGGCCCCGATGGGTTTTTAATAAATATTATTATTATTAACAAGAGCAAAAGACTGCAGTGGAAAAAATGGCGCCAAGGGTTTTTGCCGAAGCGATGTGTTAAATTTTCGCCCTGAATTATGTCTATTTTTATGCTAAATTATGTATGAAGAACATTAAGGGCAAATGCTGTTGGTATGAGTAGAAGTACTTTGGACTCCGAATGAGTTTATTGTGCTCGAGTCGGTGTGTTGTTACTGCAAATTGATGTGTCTGTTTCGATGTTGGGACGCACCTCGTGAACATCAAGCAATATATTTCTGTTTCGCCTAAAATTCTAAAAACAGAGGAGAATTTTAGTTCGACAAATACAAGGGCGACTGGAGTGGCCAGTTCTGGCTTATTAGCCGTCTTCAGCCAGCCATACCCAACCTAGAAGTATGCAACACCTGAGGTTCGATCCCGCGACCTATTAGTTGGAGGTCCAACACAGTATAACCACTGAGCCACGGGCTCGTTATCCTGTCCGTTTCGATCGGGAATGCACAATGGTAGGAGACTCTCGGTCATCACACTGCCGAAGCCTTGCTGCCCTCGAACGGCAACACCTCCTTTACGTTCAAACCCCTGCGTCAATCACCAGTATCACCCATTCCCCCACTTTCACAATCAATGAGAAGACACTCTGAGTCCCTTCAACTACTGTCTTCACCAACACCATCCCTGCCATCAGCAATACAAACTGGATCCCAAGCTGTGCACACTGTGACCGCAAATTCAACTCACGCAACGGTCTGATTGGCCACTTTCGAATCGACCGGACTATGGCCGGTGTGCCTCAGCGCACTTGGTCTCACTGCCCGCACTGCAAACGCGCACTCACTTACCACACGGGCCTCTTCGCTCACACGCCCGCCCGCCAAAGCGTGCTGTGGACTGAAGTCCAAAAAGGTGGGCAACCTCGGTTCTTACGAATAGGCAGTGACTTGGTGTTTAACAAAGAAACCTTCGGAGACCCTTGCATATCAGTCTAGCCATTCGTCGGCCGGCCAAAATGTCATAAGATATCATCTTGTTTAGATGCATTTTCAAAGAGCACTCGGAACTCCCTTGTTATTCGACTGCCTGCTCCAAGTAACCATTGTATTACGCACTAAAGCGGGTAAATATGCCTTTAAGTACTGCAATCGCATGAAATACTTTGTTCATCGGAATAGTTTTTTGATATGTTCTCTGTATTTCTTTGACGTTACTCCATTTCCGATTTTTCCACATTACGCCTCTGCATGTAACAAATAGGGATTTCAAAGCTGCATACCTACTTCCCTTCAAATAAACTGAACTGGACTGAACCACATGAGGTTGTCATCTATGCTCTTCAGGTAGGTCGCCAGTATTTCCAAAAACCAGTAGCGATGCTACAATACATTATCTGACGGAACTGCGAATGGAACTGTAGAACGCAGCTGCTCATTCAGAAAGGCACAATAAGCTGCTACACTGGACTCTAAGCTTTGTCTAAGTGTGCTAAAAACGTGTCACAATGTACACGGTAACGCAACGCCAAGTCAACAGGGCCATCTTAACAGGACGGGATCGGTGTAGCCGCGTGTAGGCTAAGATGACTGGAGCTGCTTCCATCTTGGTTGCTGACAACATCTCTATCCCTGCCAACACTAACCGCAACGATATCCTTCTGCTTTCTGCACACGACGGCAACCTCTACGGCACTTTCCTGTGATTGCCCACGGAGCTGCACTCCCCACCGGCTGTTAAGCAAGCATGAAGGTGTCGTCTTCCATCCAAAAAGATAATTCCCACGAACTATCTCTCCCCTTTCTTATACGTTGACTGTTCCGATGTCTTTAAAGTGCATTTCCTTGGCAACTATATCTCTGGTGCCTACATAAACTTCTTCTGTACGGTTTGCCGGAATGAGGTCGATGGAATATCTAGCAATTCCTTTCAGCCTAAAAACACACGAAGCTATCCGTTGCCCATTGCTGTATGTGTACCCTCGCTAATATCCTCGCTCGCCAAAACACCATAAAAACGTTCTCAAACTATACCTCATCTATTTCTTGCTCAGGACGCCAGCTGCAGAACATTTTCAGAGATTGTGTTTGATTTAACTCACCCCTTGACCAAAGTTCGTAGACGTCCAGTCAGTTTCACTGAGGGATGGTGTGCGCAATGAAGGCATGTAATTTTTTTCATTTAGTAAAATAGCAGAAACATAGGTATCAAAGAGCGGCTAAAAGGGCAGTTTGAAAAGCACTCTGAATAAAAAATATAAAAGTGCACGATTTTCGTGGGAAGTGCGCTAAGAAAGTCGTGTAGAATGAGACCAAGAGACTGCTAGCAGAGATTCCGTTGAGACCGGCACTGGTGGCATACAAGGTGTGTGTACTGCAGTGGATTAATATTCCCTCTGGCATGACCAGTGACGGTAGTTGGGGTGGTGGTCGGATGAGTTTCTGCCTCGCTCGGGTCTCACATAGTATTCACCTACATAACACAAGTCTTTTGAAGAGCAATCTAGTTTGAAATTAACATATGTACATATTCTTTGTCAGTTAAGTTAAAACCCGGTTTATAAAGGGAAATGTAGGCGAACGTCTTTGAACTCCCTATTGGTTATAACCCTGCCAGCACATGGCTCCTTCATAGGCGGGGCTGGAGGGGGCTGGGCGGGGCCAGAGCCCCCTCTGGATTGAAGCCTTTTGAAGCGTATTTGCATCGAAAGATATGTTCCAAAAGCACCACTTATTGTACCTTCTTTGGAATTAAAAGGAGCTAATTTATCAAAATTGGCTTATAAACCATGGAGAAAGCATCCGTTTACGTCCACTGAATGTAGCTGAGGATGAGCACAATATATTGAGGTTTTGTTTAAGTCCCTCATTGCTTAAACTCTTATTTGTCCACCGGTTTACAATCTGTGTGTGTTATTAATTCGTATATTTGACAATGGGGACGATATTTTAAAGTGGTGCCAAAAGTGGGCTGGGATGTGACGTCCCCTGCGCATTTTTT